TGTTTTTCCCGTTTTCAGACTATATAGTCCCGTTTTAATACTGTTATTTTCATATTATTGTATGTGTTAAAAAAAAAATCTCCTTACCAAACGAATACAAAACAATATTTTACAGTTTTATATCAAAACATTTAAAACCAATGTTATTAGGTCATAAAAAGTTTTTTCATAATGAATGTCGAGTGACGATGTATAATATTTTTTCTTGTCTGCTATACTAGCAAAATGCATGTCGTATTCCTGTGTTTCATAGTATAGGTGTTAATATAATAAGCCCGTACAGCCGTCACACTTCACCTATTAGTCATATTTTTTACCCAAAATACGTTTAAAAATAAAAAAATTCTTTAAAATTTTTGTAGGTATTTTTTTTTTTTAAATATACCCTATTTTTTATTAGGTATACGGTAATATCATACGTGGGACGTGGGACAGTCCTATGAAAACGACACTATCCTTTACTATTTTCAAAGAAATAGAAAAACGTTGAAAATGAAAACAGAAAAGGAAAATCAAATAGTATTCATGGGAAATGATTCTTAAGTTTGATAAATTGTATTATGACTCAGAAAATTGAATTCTCGACAGTAACAAAACTCTGGGCGTATTTTCTTCAATTTAAAATAGCGATATTCTTGACACTCGTTTGTATTGTCTTCTAAAAGTAATTATTTATGCACTCTTCATCCATATTTCTTCTTGTAATTGCAATACAGTAGGGTATTAAGAAGTAATTTAATATTATACGGTAAATATTAAATAGGTATAATATATATTGTAGCTTTTTTTGAAAATCAAAGGCGAGTGAATGATTTAATAGCATTGAAATTTTCTCTGGTAATGTAAAAACTTAAAAGTTCAAATGCACTTAATACACGAGTATTATATTATTTATATAAGCATTACTGTCTCAGAATCTTATATAGTATTAAATACGACATTAGATAGTATGCTATATACGAGTATATGGTTAAGATTTTAATCATTATTTTTACAATAAATAAACAGGTATAAGTGTTTTTTAAAACATTTGCTTGAAGTTTAGATTAGCAGAGTAGGATATCAAAGTTGTGTTTTGATCATAGTGTCAATAACATTTTTTAATAATATGTAGTTTGTTGTGAATAATTTATAGTTGGGTTCTTTAGTCCGTTTAAAAATATTTCAGAAAAATAACATATATTAAGAAATTATTTGATTTAGATTATAGAATCATCCTATATAATATATGTTTATGTTTAGTATGCTATAAAATTAAGGTGTCTACTGTAACATCTCATTTATACACAAATGGTTAGGTGTGTATATAAATGCCAAAAATATCGTTTTAAAATTTCATGGATAAAAATTAGATGAAATGAAATTTATTTAAATTGCATAGAACAATTTGTTCAATATAACTCTTGGTAATTTTTAAAGCGATAATCGTATTCTATATGTATCAACTACCTGCTCAAGGAAAGGTATAATTTAGTACACGTAGATATTATACTGTATTATACTCGTATACTCGTAGCATACTCCGATAAAATATACTTGGAGAAATATATACGAGCTCTAAATATAGCGTATTATACGATATTATCAGATAAAACGACGACGATTATTTGAAACAGTGTTTTTATCTAAAATTATAAAAGGAGAACATTTTATAACTTTTTACAGAAACCCACTCTGAACGTTTTAGAATACCACCCGTTGTGACCTAGTTTTAAGTAGGCGCGGAAGGTAAATAGTTATAAAAAATGAATTTTTAACAATGAAACAATTCGAAATTATAATTTAACAACAACTAATGACATTATGGATTCGTGATCGCAAGTAAAAATGGTTGCAAGAGTAGTTTAACGAGTCTATTCAGGAGATAAAAAATAGTATTACCACCCCATATTAGTATAATATGATAATAAACATCACATATCGCTGACTAAAACATTGAATAAGACATTTCAACCACCACCAATCGGTTACAAATACATAATTTAAATTCTAGTTTCCCGATGAAGTAAATTTAAATTGTTATGATTTTTAGACACCATTTCACATTTTTTTTTAATTATCCAATTTCGGGAATACATTTTATACTGACAGCAGGTGTGTTCAAAAAATGTAAGTTGTTTCTTAACAACAATACACAGCAGCTTGATATGGTAAAAAATAAAATACGTGCTGAGGTTTAGGTTAGGTTATAATGTAAATAAAGATATTTGAAAATTTTTTTGAACATAGGTATTTAATTTTAATAATAAATTGCATTAATATATAAATACAGATTTTTAACTTAGTGGAAATAATTATGTAATTATATCATCTATTACTTAGATTAGGTGATATTGTAATTTGTAACATACTATACAAACGTTATGTACTATCTGCAGATTATCATATTAAAATCTTTTACGATCCTTATAAATTTTATAATGAACAGGTATATTATATGTTCGATCTAATTGTGGCTGTGTCCCTTTATGTGAATACGGTTATCAGGGTAGAGTTTTTAAGAATTTACGTGTGCAGGTTGACGATAAATTCCACTTTGATGGTTCAGGAAAAATATGAAAATCTGTTCAATTTTTTTCATAATAATAAAAAAACGTGTATATTATAACACGAATATGAAATCATTATAATACCAGTGCTATAGTTAAAATGTATTTACATTCGTGATTAGACATTGTCATATTATCATAATAATATTAATATACTGTGTTTGGGGTATAAATTATATCCGTAAGAGTTGGGTTGCATAATGGTTTTATTGTTTTTTTTTTTTTTTTATTTAAAATTTTTTTTAATCGTTGTCACACAATCGTGTTGAATAACTAGTATTTTATATGTTCTTGCGACATTATCCATAAAAGGTATACATAGATTCATATTATATAATCGTTGTTCGATGTATTATACCTTTACTTATACATATTTGCATACATGTAGTTTGACGTTTCGTCGTTACTTGTAAGTACAAAAAATGACAAAATCAAACAAATGAAAGTTAGGAAAACGTGACCATAATTTTACCTAAGACTGAGAGGCCTATACATTTTAATAGGAATAATCCATTTTTTTTTTAAATAATTAGGTGTAAATTTTAGTGAAACATCGAATAAAATTTAAAAAAAAAATTAAATACACTGAAATAATATTTATTAATAACTAAAAATGGTGTAAAAATATGATCGTACACGTATTTCAGTGTTGTTTTCTGTTGCGATAGTTAAATACGTACTCTTTTTTGATACAATGCAATGCATATATCACCATTTTTCTTTAAAACGAGTTATTTTTACGCTTTTTGGAAACAATTGAGTTCTTAGCTTGAAAATGGGACTGTCCTGCCCTTCAAAATGGGATGTATGGCCATGTAAGTTGTGGTATGCCAGGACAATCCCCCTACACCCATAAGTGCCAAACAATAATGCGATTATATAACTAGATTAGATACGTCGCATTATATACTTGAGCTACCTAGTATGGTATATAGTATTATCGCAAGAACGTCATTGCGATTGCGATATTCTAATCGATGGTTGTTGGACGGAGCGGGGAAAAAACGCTGGTAGGTGCGTGCACGTGGAAAAAAATTATAAAAACATATTACGTAACATTAAACCGGGAAAAAACCAGCTGGAAAACTTCAGCTATTGGACCCCGCGGTCGGGCGGACAACGCACCCGGAGGAGGCGTCGGCGACGAGGTTAATTTCTCACAGCCGAGTAAAGTTTCCACCGTCTAACGCAGAAAAGTTGTGGAACCGCGAAACCTCCCACTACAGGCAGTATGGGTAGTTATATGATATTATTATAACCGGGCATTGTAGACGGTGGCGTGGACCATTAATTCCCCGTGAGTTTTCATCGAGGAAACAAGGGGTATACTGTGCCAGTGACGGATTAAAATTTCGGGTGCCGATCGTCTGTATAAAAGTTCTACGACCAGAACACGCGTGCGGGTAGCGGCAGCCAACAGGAGAGGAGAGGGTGCGAAGGTGTGCGGATGATACGGTCTAAATGAGCCGATTTGTTATCCCGTCTACTTGCCGCTGTACACCACCGACAAGCTACCCGCGCACGTCTTACTATGCGGATGATTTATACACCACAATGCAATGCTCCTCGGACAAACCTTATAACAACTGTGCGTGCCTCTAAACGAAAAATTTTGGAAACACTTGACAACGGATCGGCATCGAACCGCGGTTTTTTCGGTGACCAATTCGTCAGACGACAAACGGTATGGAATGCTGTTCGTTCACATCGCATGTACCTTTTTTTGTGTAGACTACCGTATCCCAGGTAAGTCGCGTGCCTAAAAAAACGTATCGACAAGTTGTGGATAGCATATTTAAAAGTCACAAAGTCTTCAGATACATACCACATAAAAAAAAAAAAAAAAAAAAAAAAAAAACGATAAGTTAAAATCCTATAAGTACGATTTTTCTTTTCAAAATTACTAATGTCTAACGTCACAAATAAAATATTTATAAATATATATACACGTATGTATTTTATAACATTAATTCGTGATTGAGGTATTTATTATTATCGACATGGCAAAACACTTCCTTATATTTTATCGTCTGTCCGGAACGTTGCTATAAAAAACATTAGATTTCGACGATTATTATTGTAGTCACATTGCGTAGAAACAGATCGCAAAATAAAATCTATTTCTTAATATTATAATATAGTCGCATTACCAACGCGAGTAATTCTTTCCAAACGCATACGTTGCCTATTATGATTATTATAACTATCCTCCGTGTACCATAATAAATCGTTATGAAATGTATTAAGCATTATGATTTTGAAAGAGATACAGTTTTACAGGCGAGGAAATAAATTAATAGTTAAACTCAGAGAGCCGAGTACTCCGTTAAATTCACTTCCGTGGACCAGATGAACAAAATAATTTTACGACGTCAAAAAACGTCACGAATACAAATAACTTTATTGGGCTTAAATATTAATCATCAAAAAGGCACTTTATAATTCACTCACCTGCGTCGATTTGGTCGCTGCATCTTGCGGCTGCTCTGAAAATCTGCTTGAAATCGGTAGACGATGCTCGTCCGTCGGACGACAAATCGTACGATGCAAAATAGTCGGTAATTGTCGGCCGACCGCGGCCACCGTCCGACAACGCCTTGTCGCACTGTTCCGCAAACGTTTTGATCCGCGAGTCGACCATCGGTTGGCCGTACACGCACGTGGCCACCACCGTGGTCGCACAATTTTTCACCTCTGTCCACGGCGAAATGGTTAGCCGACGGTTTGCCACGGCTTCCAACGACGTGACGAGCTCGGCCACGCACACGGTCATGGTTGGCAGCACGGCGATCGCCGCGCAGGCGTCCACCGCGGACGGTACGAGACTCGTCTCGCGGCCACCTGTGGTTTCAGCCTCGGTAAATCCGTCGTTACCGAGTGCGGCCGCGGCCACACGGAGATCACACGCTAATGCGGTCGGCCGGCCGCCATCGAAGAGCCCGAGCGCGGTGGCACCCGCGGCCTTGGCGTCGTCTCGGTGTCGGGACAACGACCTGTCGTGCAAACGGAAGCCCGGAAGCATGTTTGTCAAAGACCGATAACCGGCTGCTACCGGCACCCCGCGATTGGTCCAATAATCGCGCTTCCGACGAGCGTACGGCATCAAAACTGCGAGTACGACGAAAGTCGCAAACGCCAATACCTCCAACGTCCATGTTACGTACGCTCCCATAACGTTTATTTGCACGACCGCAGTTGTATATTTGTTTTTGGAGCTGGTGCAAACCTAGAAGATAAAATGATTTTCCGTCAACGTTTATTTCGAATTTTAAATTGCGCGATACACCGAACATTTCATTTTATTTTCCACTGGAATAGTATTAAAATTAACGGTGATGTGCTTATAACTAAACGTATACATATCAAGTAAGATCACCCCCGTTTTTCATACTATAACTTACTATCAATTAATTCAAATTCTGATTACCGGAATTTTTTTTTATATAACATCTTTAAATTCTTAAGATTTTTTATACAGCTATATGCATGGCAATACAAATTTCTGAATTTTAATGAGAACCCTATTTTTCGTTCGAAATTATAAAAAAAAAATTGATGCGATTAATTCAAATTTCAAATCCATAGTTTTACTGTTTATTATAATAATTAATTCAAGTATAATAGTCCTTGAAAATGATTTAAAAAAATATAAAATAGATATAAAATCGGTTACTAAAATGTTCCTATTAGTCATTACTCATTACTATAATTTCCACTACCGTATGTAGAAATTTCCTTTAATAAGGCTTTAAAAGATTTCTTTAATACATTAATTTAATAAGACAATAGCTCTTTCATTAATTTAAAAGGCAATAGCTCTTTAATATTCAAGAAAATTTAGGTACCTAAGTACTCTATACTCAAGCTATGCATAGATTACTTAGATATGTTTTTTTGTTAATATATATGTTGTAATTTAAGTAATAAAATGTTTACGTAGAACAATGTGATATATTGATTAATGAAAATTTTAATAAATAATTTAATTTAATAAAGCTCTGTTTAATATTTCAATGGATAAATGTAAAAGTTTGAATAATTAAATTCGCAATAGAAAGTAATCGTTAATTTTTAACTCTTAAAATCAGATAATAAAAAAATATTAATTATGATTTAAACTGTTAGGTAAAAATCGAAATATTTAGAGGGTACCTACATTATCTACAGAGCTATAAGGATTGTAATGAAATGCTTAGTCATCGTCCTACACTTGAAAATGCTGAAAATGCGTATTTTGCTAAATGATATTTTTTTATTCATAATGATTAAATTTATGTTTTACTATATAATAATTTATAGAAGTGATTATTAATTTCAAAAACACTTTAAAAATATTAGTTTATACTAGTTTTAAAATAAACCTAATTATTAATATTGTTTATTATTTATAATAATTGTATTACTATAGTAATAATTATTGAGCATACTGTTCTGAAGTCTTAACCTAACAAAGGACATAAATTCCCAATAGAGTAATTTCTTTTCATTGTCTAAAAAATATTAATACTTTTTTATTTTTTTTAATTCATTTTTTTTTAAATATTATTTATTTAGTAGATATCTACATTTTACAAGACACATATGATACACAATAATTGATATGGAACTAAAAATTATAACGTAATTATTATTTCTATTAAAAATAGTTACATGTGTACCTACCTATTATGCCTACTCTTCTTATATTAATTTTTATGGTTTTTTTATCATTAGAACATTTTTTTTTTCATTATTATTAGTGTATAATAATTAATTATTCATTAAAAATTGAATTATTTTTTGTGTATCACTACTAATAATGAGTTATTATTTTAAGTTAAAAATGAATCAATATAGAAAACACTAATAAAGTTATCAGTCAGATAGTTAAATTCAATTATGTATTATCTATTTCATTGTGTGTAGCTCTTTAAATTACAAAACTATGCAATAGACAAATAATACCTTTATCTATTTGGATAAAGATTACTGTACTATATAGGCTCTACATGTATATCAATTAAAATTCGAATTTTTAATATAACAATATTATTAGGTGGATACTGAATTATAAAATTATATTTTTTCTGTGGTACATATAGAAATAAAACAGAACATTATAATAATATATAACTGTTTTTTTTTTAATTTAATAATAAAGGAACTTAACACAATTTATTTTTCAAAATGAATAAATATTGATTTATTAAATTGCATACATTTATAACTATATTAACACACTATTATTATACAAGAAGTATAAATAGAAATATTTTGTAATTACTTCATACAACATGAAAAAATTGTTGTCTTTAGAGGTCATGAATAATGCAAAATTATATTAAATCAAATCTAATCAGCCCCGTTTACTTATTATTTATTTATGCTTGTAAACTGTAAATATATTTATAAATGTTTTAACATGATTGTAATATTTTCTCAAAATTATATTTTATTTTATACTCCAAACAACTATTTAATATTGTCTTGGAAAAATTATTATTATTGTTATTCAATTGTACAATTATTGAAAACATAATTTATGTATTTAGACATAAAAACGATATTTCTAGTTTCTACAGTACTATGTATATTATATACATTATGCTTTATGATTAATGGAACGTGCTAATGTGCATAATATAAGATTACGACTAGGACCGATTTTCAACCATAGAGAAACCACATACGTAGACGTCTGAAAGGATATTAAGCACCATCGTCGCCCATTAACCTTTTGAAGGTCCTATTAATAATAGGTGAACATCAGTTTTCAATTGAATTAGATTCAATTCGAAAACGTTCATGTTGTGTCTACAATATGATATTTAAATATAGATCTTGCCATAAATGTTAGCGGAAATTGACGTATAATAATGAGGTGATCATCGAAATAATAAAAGGTAAGGCTTTGAGTTTGACAAAATGAAAAGCTGCCACCCGTTCAGATTTTGGAATTAAAATAAAAAAGATCTTTTTTTTTTTATCGTTGTCCGTAATATTTACATTAAGTTTAATTATAGTTTACGTCCAGTGATGTAAAAAACTCCAGATAATAGTGTGTATGAGCGATGATAGTTTTATTTAATTTTTCAGGTTATTAATGGCGATTATTATACGAATTCTGCAGCAACAATGTTTGATCTAAATTATTAAACTGATATTTTTTTATTTTTGATAATAAATAATAATAATTGTGTTCAACAGAAGATTTAATGTCAACAAATAAACATATAATAAAAAGAGTCGTATGATAAAACCTGGTTTTGATATTTTCCTGTATAAATAGTTTACACTATTTAGGTACATGTGATATATTTTTACACCATAACTTGTTTTACATGGTTGTATAATGATATGAAGTTAAAAAAAGGGTACATACAGTTTTTATATTTTTCATCATAAACATCCACAAGCATTTTTCCACTTTATAATTAATATACCAACTATTTTACTATTACAAATATATATATATATTTATTTTAATTAAATCTAGTAAACCTTTATAAACTATTAATATAGAACGTTATAATTATGCAACTAAATTTAAAAAAAAAAGAAAAAACCATTATGTTAATAAAATATTCATTTTTAAAATATCTATAGATATTCGATATTAAAAAGAAAAAATCATTTTTATACTGAGTAACAAGATTGAATTTGTAAACAGGTATAACTTATTGATAGTGTTTACTGTAATAATTCAACAACTTTACAAATAATTATTATTCTCAAGTAATGAAGTTTTCGTTTTTTCGTTGCATCATTAAATGTAGTCTTTTTTATACGAATTCATGAAAAGTAAACCTATTATTTACAAAGTATATAATTGATTTGTCGATAAATAAACGGATTTCAATCTTAGAAAAAATCGTTCTTAAAGCAATCTAACAATTGTACCTATACAATTCGATTTCATATAAAAAATAAATACAAAATACTGTGCTAATCTCACATTTCACGGGGTAATTCGATCAATCCTAAATACTAGCTATAACTAGCTTTGTCAGCTTAAAAAAGTCGAGTCTTAGAAATTTAGCTATTTTATTTTCATTTTGTTGATTTTATTTTTTGTTTCTTTGGTTAGACTTAATATTTCTGAATATATTTAGAAAACTTCTATAGTCTTAGTATCTACGTATCGTCATAAAAACCAGATGCTGAAACTCAAGAGCCGCGTCATGTTTTCCTCGAGCAATGCCTCTAACGAAAACTTGTTTTATTTATTTCTTTTCGGCATGTTTCAGTGAATATGTTTTAAAGTAACCCGATTGTGTTTATGTTTTGGATGTGTTGGGATTTTTATACTATACGGATATTAATTATTCACGGTAGTCGAGTGTCACCACAAAGCTCTGTAAGTCCAGCTGTGTTTTATAATAATATATAAGAGAATAAATGAAATTTAATTAAAAATCTAAAATGGGTGATGGTTAAAATAATTAGAGTATATATAATATTATTTACATAGGTAGTAAAAGTAAAAATAAATAAACCGTACGTATTCTGAGATCCCAATCGTGAGTTACAACATAAGAGTTTCCACGATGCACTTGTATAGATTATACAGAATATATTATAGATGGTATTTACTCAATAACATAATCGTGACGAGAAACTATTTCTGCTCATATTATATAAAATAATTTAAAAACCACTAACGTAAGAGTTGTTGACTCTTTTAACAATGCAGTTTTTAACGAGATTGAATATAATATTATAAAAGGCATTTGTCTATTATAATATTATACTAACTAAAATTAAATGCTTAAAAATGTTCTTCTTTTTTTTTTTTACTTAGATATCGCTCATTTTACTCATTGCTTGAATATTAAAAAATATTAAATTTAATATTTAAATATTATTATCCAAAATTGTAAAAAGTAAAATCATAATTTCCTTGAAGAAAAAAATTGTTTACCACGATTTATTATCAAATTGATTAAGAGAACAACGTTTTTAAAACACATATAACAAATAATAATAATAATAATAATAATAAAAAAAAAACCTTAATCGGCTTTAACAAACCATCAAGTCCACCTCATTTAATTAGTTATCGCTATTTCTGTATACCCTTGTCTGCGTTTACATTCATTAAAACGAATATGTCAACCTTGTTTTAGAATATCCTTTATGAACGAGCATTCCTTAGAATTTAATCGAAAATATACCATAATATAGTTTGATACACAATTCATATAAATATTATTGAAATAGTGGACTTCAACTTTATTATACTGATAT